TTCATCCTCCGGTGACTTCACCGCACCGGTGTGGCCAGCGCGCACTCTGCTATTTTTGCGGTCGGTAGATCTTTTAGAACTGCAGTTCAAAGGTAACTCATGAGGTGAATATATATGAAGCCAGGTAGCAGTTTCTCTTCAGGATTGAGAGGAAATGCAGGAAGATAATAAACAGACAAGACAGAAAAAGTCAAATAAAAACAAGTTCGTTTTTGTACCTGGTAGCAACAGACACCACTGAAGGTAATCAGAAGTGAGGAACAGAAAATGAAATGATTCTTTCAATGTTTAGATCAGCAGGAACTCTGAGATGCTGCAGGCGCATCAGTGAGTTTGCGGCCGCTATGCTGGGGGAGGGGGGAGAGGGCTGAAGCAGGCAGTAAAGATGCAAAAACTACCGTTGTTATAAGAAATGTGTGCTAACTTAGGCCTAGTCCACACGTAGCCATTTTTTTTAAAAAACGAATATCCGCCCCTCCAAAAACTTGCATCCACACCACCTCGTTTAAAAAAAAACTGTTCACACGTACCCGGATAAATATGTTGTTAAGGACATGCCAGACCTGTAGGCGGCAGTACTTCCCCCGTTCTTAACCTTGTCCTTTGTCTGTGGTCTTCCGCAAGGAGCAGTAATTCCGCTTGCAAAAACAAACAAGCAAAAAGCGCTTGGACAATTGATAAAGCGAGCGCAGCTCTGAGGGCATACATGCTGTCTGCTAGTGTAAACACAGGTCGCACACGTGATGTCAGCATTTTTTTGTCGCGGAAAGTGACGTTGTGGACCTTAAAACTCCGGTTTTGTCTGTCCACACGCAGACACCCAAAACGGAGAAAACACAGATCTTCACTTTGGCCGGAGTTTTTAAAAACATCCGTTTTCGTGTGAAAAAACTCCGTTTTCGTGTGGATGACAGGCCAAAAGGTAGAAAAATATCTACGTTTTGGCAGATCCCCGGCTACGTGTGGACAGGGCCTTAGAAAATGCGGTCGCAATTTTAATTACTTGTTAACTTTTTTCTCCAATGTTGACTGCTGCACAAAAAAAAAACAAAAAAAAAAAACAAATGACTGCTGCTCGCGTGGGCCCCCTTGTGGCTGTGGGCCCCTGGGCCTGTGCCCAGTTTGCCCATATTATAATCCGGCCTTGCCTGCTACATGAGGCTAGGATAAGTGAAGTTTTCGAAAAGGGACAGAAACAGAGACTACAGTTTTTTTGTTTAAGAACGGTTGTTTGCTTGTCCGGGACAAATCTACTTTAGTTAATCTCTCACCAAAGAGAGAGTGAAGTAACCAAGTGTGGACAAATAATGTTTCTCTGTGTGGTTGTTCTCTCTTTGTCCCGGGAGTTTTATGTTGAGGATTATTTGAGTGTCTCCAGATCTGTTAATTTCTTTCCACCTTGGGTCTCCATCTTTTTTATATGGTCAAAGAAACCATTAACGATTCGTTCAAATAAATGTACAACAGCTAAGTTCAACTAACTGCTATACCCATTTTTTATTCGATTATATATATATATATATATATAATTTTTAAGACTTGTTGAGCGTGTAATGTTAATGTGATAGCTGTGAAAAATAAAAGAAGGGGTCTCCGTTTGTAGGCCCAGTTTGCATCCGTCGCACTTGGTATAGAGTTCTAGAGAGGAGAACCTGCAGGAACCAGACAGAACCTTTTGAAACTCATGAAATGTTTGATTCATCTTCTCTGCTGTGATGATCTGAAGTGGGGAGTCTGATGAGGTAAAAGTCTCATTTCGCTCGGCGAACAGAAAACCGACACGGATCAATGAGCAAATCCAGAGCTTGCTCCGTCTGGCTTTTCTCTGCTCGTCACATCAGGGAACGACTGATCAGCTCTGCTGTTTGTGTCTTCAGATAACATTTCTGCTGATGCAGACATCCATAAGAGGCCGAGAGGAGGAACCGGGGCTTCTAAAGGAGCAGGTGATGGAACGTCCTGACTCAGAGATGAGAACTTCTGACTGATAAAACATTCTGCTGCTGCTTGTTCCTGTAACACCCACCAGGGCGGTCTATTAAGCGGACATGTCCTGTAACACAAGAGACAGGAGCTCAGCTGTCAAACCTCGGTGTTGGTTTTAATCGTGGCTGAGGAGTTAAATGTCCGACCTGTAACTGGAGAGTTGCAGGGACCGTGGCGCCGTCGGTGCACCCCTGGGCAGCTGTGGCTACATCGTACCTGACCACCAGTGTGTGAATGGATGAATGATTGTGTTGTAAAGCACCTTGGGGGGTTGCAGAACCCCATAAGGTGCTAAATAAAAACAGGCCTTTTACCATTTAAATGTTATAAAGAAAATTATAGGATATAATCGCACTTCTCATCTTTATTATTAGACTTTTAAACATGATGATCTAATGACCTGAGAGGAACTAGTGTGATTTGAGACATCAGAAGTTACCAAGCTCCAATCCTGTAGCCTCCACCTCAGAACCTCCCACCAGGAGCAACAACTGCCGACCTCCTGGCCAGGTATGAAGAGTTCATGAACAAAACAAGGATATCTGCACATGCAGACATCCAGGGCAGCTGTGACAAAGATTGGTGTCATTCAGCATTTAGGCCAGAAGGTGGAGACGCATGTGCTGGTAGTCCATCCTCATCAGAGCCAGGTAAATACACACAGACACAAAGGAGTACAGCGTGCCATTGGCCCAGTGACCTCCCACAAGCTCTGGATCTCCTTTATAGGTGAACCCAATTCTGACCAAAAGCTCAATGGAACCGAGCCGTTCCGTTACATCTCAGGTCAGGGTTCCTGCAGCTTCTGGTTCCAGAGAACCTGAACCGTTTCCGTTAAAGCTCAGAGGTCCGGTTGTCACACTGTGCAGGAACACCTTGGGCCACCAGAGGGCAGCATCTCATCAGAACCTCACCATTCAGCCAGAAAACTAGGTTTAGAATCTGATCCTTGTTGATCTGAAAATGTGATCATCTTAAGTTATTGGCTCATTATTACTGATCCATGTTGATACAGTTCTGGTTCTGAACCTTTAACAGAAACTAGAGGCTAAACTTGTCAGTACCAGTGCAGCGCCTGAAGACCCAACAGGGTCTCAGCCTGTTACTTGTTTTCTGATTCCTTGGTGGACGTGGACACAGCAGCTGGTTCTGTTGTACGTTCTTGCTGTGTTTGTCTTCTAATTCCATTTTTTTTTTGTTCTTTTTCAAACACAGATTAGGTTTTTCTTTACCTTGCTGACGGTTTCGTTTGCAGCCGTCAGCAAGGTAAAAAAAATAAAAACCTAATCTGTTTAAAAAACAACAACAAAAATGGAAGCTGCCGGTTCTGTAGGACTTTTGTGTCCGTGGAGTCCATCTGGTTAGTAAACTCGGTCCACTGGAGATGCTGAAACGTTTCCTCTCGTTGCCCTTGACCCGTTTATTTGTCTCACCAAGCAGGTCGTGTGCAGCTTCTCCATCGATCAGAGGAAAAACAAAGGATCTGGTTCCACTATAAATACCCTGAGTACCTTCAGTGTCCTTCAGCTGTCCTCGTCATCTTCAGGCAGCTATTTCTGACTCGGGCTATCAACCGGGCCCGGTGTCGGTTTGCGTGACAAGTTCCTGAGCAGTTTGGTTCCGCTGGCCCGTTCTGGAGTTCTGGTTCATTTATTTTCTTTTTTATGACCAGAAAAACTTTTCTCTCTATAAACGTTTTAAGTCTTTTAACCCAATGATCATGAAGAAGAAACACCCAAAACACCTGGTTCAGATTCGTAAAGGCGTTGCTTAGGGATGTCCCGATCCGATCACATGATTGGAAATCGCCCCCGATTACGTGGTTTCAGACTGATCGGGACTTGGGCTTGCCCCGATCCGGACTTGGATACTGGGTTCAAATTACAGTAGAGCAACTTGGTTCTCCTAAAGGTTGTCAGGCTCCCCTGATGCCCTTAACTTACACACCCAGAAGGAGCACAAAAGAGATCCAGTTTCTACCTAGATTATATTATTTATATGGACTCAGAGTAGCAGAGATTATTTTGAGCAGAGTGGCAGGCAGACCGCTGATTATTCATGAACTCCAGCTGCGTTCTGCACACTGCCACAGTAACATTTTCTAAGTTTCTAAGTGGCGGCACCAAAAGATATATAATTAACACAGTCATTCGTGTCCGTTCATTTTGTCTCTGGAAAGTTCCGTCTCTATTTGAGCATGACGTGTGGACGCGCTCGTGCTGCAGCGCTCGTCACTGGCGCAGCTGGGCAGTGCGGCGCACACTTTGCTTTTTTTGCGGTCAATAGATCAGTTTGATCTGCTAGTTAAAAAGTTACTTGTGAGGTGAAAAAGAAGGGAGCAGACAGGAGATTTTCTGGAGGACTGGGAGATGCAGGAAGATCAGAGACAGACAGGACAGGAAGACAGGAAAATAAAAACCAAGAAAACAAAGATCTTAAAAAATAAAATGTAGGTAGATTGATCCCACTACACGTTTGTACCTGTATAAAGCAATAATTTATCAGCATGTAGTATTTATACAGTTGACACAATTCAGATCATCTTCAAAACTCCGCCCCATACCCAGGGACGTATCTAAGCATTTTGGGGACCGAGGCAAAGTAGACCCCTGCCAGGTATTTTAAGTTAAAGTGCTATCTGCTTTTATATTAGACTTTTTATATTTGCAATAAAGTCCAAAAGGGAAGAATTTATGTTATTTATTACTTGATTGTTCAAGCTACCTCACAGAAGTGATCTGTTGTTAAAAATAAAAATGTAATTAAATAAAAAATAAGGAACATTCTGGAACTGTTTCTTCCCTTTTTTTTATGTATCGAAAGTATCGGATCAGGACTCGGTATCGGCAGATTCTCTAAATCAAATGACTCGGACTCCAGGGAAAAAAAACCTGATCGGGACATCCCTAGCGTTGCTCCACAGGAGGCACGTCGGCAGTCCGATGAGACTAGGTTCTGAAGAAACGCGTAGAAATAACGTAAAGCTGCACATGAATGACGTCACCAAGACTCAGTTCTGGTTGTTCATAAATAATTTTATGTGTTGTATTTTTATGTTACAGCAACAGCAAGTACAGTAATCCCATAACTCCCTATTTGGGTCAGAAACAACCGCCCAGATATAACCCTAACACCCCCTTCACACACACACACACACACTCTGTGAACAGGTAGGTGTATGTGTGTGTAGCTGGAACCATGTCTGACCCGACTACGTTGCTTCGACTCTAAAGCTCTCGTGTTTCACTGCAAGTACAAACTCTGGTCACATGACCAGGACATGCCCACCCAGTGACTGTTCAACACACACACACCAGCAGTCTGGGTGTGTGTGTGACAGGAAGTTCCGCAGGTGTGTTAGGAGGCGGGCTTGTTGTAGTCCTCCACCCCGGTGATGGTGGCTTTGCAGAAGAAACAATCCTTGCTGTTCATCAGGTGCTGGTTGATGCAGGCTCTGCAGAGAGAACACAACAGAGTCAGAACCGGCCGGACTCGGTGGTCTCTAATCGGTTCAGGCTGCCATTGGTGTGGGACGACGGTGGGTCAGTTTGCCCTGTGACTGGAGAGTTGTGGGTTCGATACCGGCTCCCTGCACATAGCTCTGCTGTTGGGTCATTAGGAAAGACTCTTCCCCCTCCTACCTGCTGGTGGTGAGAGGGACTGGTGGCTCTCGTCAGTGTGGCCAGGGGCAGCTGTGGCTCCAATGTAGCTCATCATCACCAATGAGTAAATTGTAGTTTTGTTTTTTTCTGTATGTGTATAGCACCTTCTTAGGGCTCTACACCCCCCCAAGGCGCTTCACAACACAATCAAGTCATTCACCCATTCACACCCTGGTGGTGATGAGCTACGATGTAGCTACAGCTGCCCTGGAGCCCACTGACAGAGGCAAGTTTGCCGTAGGCGCCACCGGTTCTTCTGACCACCACCAGCAGGCAAGGGGGGTTAAGTGCCTTGCCCAAGGACACGACAGACTGAGCAGGACTCAAACCTGCATCCTTCTGATTACTGGACAACCTGCTCTACCTCCTGAGCTACTGTTGTCCCTCAGGCCTGGTTGTGTTGTAAAGCGTCTTGGTGGGTCTAAGCCAGTTTGACATAAGTCTGACCGGCCCCGGGGAGCCTTGGGTCAGACCGTGGCGGTAATGCGGTGCAGTCATTTACGCGTTGGTGGGGCTGCTCCAGACTTCCTTTTAGCTTGGACAGAACTTGCTTGCGATTGAAGCTGCGCTCATTAAAGGTATAGCGGTGGATCATCGGAACCATTGGTCCATGTAGCTGTGGACGTACGTGCTGGTTCCTGGGTTAGTTTTCACTTCCTGCACATGTGTAGAGCGATACACCTCCATTCCTCACAGGGCTGAGAGCTGCAAGAGCAAAGGAGTCTACGCTGAGGAGAAATGCCTCCGGAGTGAGAAATAACACCAATGGTATTTTAGGAGAATTTTCCACTATTGCGTGCGCTGAAAGCAAAACTTACAGCTCATGATTACCTCCATTCTCATTATAGCTGCCAGCCGGAGCTCAGCGGTAATTCCACACGCGACCACGACACCTCCCTCTGTTGCTCTGAGCCATAATGTCCAGTGCTGCAGTAATATTACTAGCAGGTGTGGTGGCACAAACGCCAGAAAATTCCTGCACCGCCGTGCTGCCACAGCGCTTTTAGACACACTGGCGGCAGCATTATGCTGATTTTCTTATGAAAGCATCTCATAAGGAGATCCATAAATACAGGCCATCTATTAAATGCTGCTTCTACTATTGATGAGTGGTTCTGGTCCCTGCTGAGGTTCTGTGTGGACTTACTTGCAGGACTTGTGTGAACAGGGCTTGAAGATGGCGGAGATGGAGTGAGCGTAGCAGATGGGGCAGAGGTCCTCCTCACTGGTTGGCTGGAACAGAAAATGAGACTTAGGATGAGAAGATCTTGACCCAGCAGAACTTATTTAATGAAACATCAGAACTCCTGAGGAACAATGTGGAGAACGTTCCTGCTGTTCTGAATGTCACAGGAGTCTTTTCTTCATCATCATGTGGAGCACGACTCTGTTCATCAGCTACTGATTATCGTTTATTCTCCCACTGATGATGGACAGCATCCAACAGCTGTACATGTTTTTCCTAGACTGTAACCACGGTAACCAGATAAAGCAAAGACAGGGACAGTCCCAGAATATCAATGTGATGCAAAGACTTTCAGAAATAAAGACTCAATGGTGCTGAAGGTCAGCTGGTGGAGCTAAGAGGACCCGTCACAAAAACCACCTGTCCCTTTGTGAACAGCTAACCGGGATCATCAGAGCAGTAAGCCACGCCCAAGGTCTCAGAGAGGTCCCGCCTACTAATGTCCTCTGCCAACTACACTGAGGACAGAACAGGAAAGCTGTGGTTCCTCGTGTCTGACCTTTCATCTGGACTTCAGCTAGGCGTGTTAACTTGTGACTAAGGGCAGAAGATGTCCTCCTGTTTAAAGGTCAACAAGATGTCCTCCAGGTGAAACAAACACGTCCTGCTTTCTAAAAGGAAGGAAGTTCGAGTCGGGCTTCGATGGAAATCTAACGAAAGCTGATGTCTGAAAACACGATTCACCGAGTGAGTTTACAGCTAATTCACTGATTTATTTTGTCGACCGCTCAGAACGCACGCACACACACACACACACACACACACACCTGCTGTTCTCACGAAGATTGATCTATGAAATAAAAACGGGGACATTTCTATATAAGAGCTCAAATTTTCATTAAATCCACCTTAAATGAACGATGAGAAAAATTAAACTGGAGATAATGTTAAGTTTGTGTCCCTGAAGGTGTGTGTGTGTGTGTGTGTGTGTGTGTGTGTGTGTGTGTGTGTGTGTGTGTGTGTGTGTGTGTGTGTGTGTGTGTGTGTGTGTGTGTGTGTGTGTGTGTGTTGCTGCAGGAACATCGTCAGTTCATGATAAATGACCTTTATGCGAGTCTGAAAGCTGGTGGTGGGGGGGTTCTAATTTCAAACATGTATTTTCATGTGTGTGTGTGTGTGTGTGTGTGTGTGACCATAAATCTGTTTACACAGCTCCACTGAGACTTCCTTTAGGGAAAAGGAAGGCATAGCCTATTATGTAAATCCTGAGTGTGAGCAGTAGATGGGTGAAGTGCATGTGGGTCGACCCAGAACCCCCTTCTGCTGTGGTCCGATCTGCAGGTGGACACACGGAGAACAACAACAACATGTCCCTGCAGCACTTTCCTGTGTGGGCTGGTTCCATGTTCTGAAGCATGTCATTAACTTCCTGTGAGCTCTGACTCACGTCTGCAGGACTCAGTCTGATGTGGGATTCAACAGGAAGGAACAAAATGGTTCAGAATCCAGCAGACAGTTGATGAATAGATGAGCTCCTCCACACCATGCATGAGATCATCAGATCATCCTTAGAAGAGCAACCAACTAACTTCTTGTCCTCTGTCACCACACCCAGAAATCTCCTTGTTGGGAATGAGATGGCTCTAAACTAGGGCCTGACCGATATTGGGGTCATTAACAGTATCGGCTATCGGCCAAAAAGATGGCCGATATTGCGCTACCTATCCAGCAGATGGCGCCAGCTTTATGAACTCATGTTGTGTGGCTCCACTCCTTTGAACTTTGAACACAAATGATTGTTTTGGAACTTTTTTAAATTTATTCTCATTTATGTTTCTTATGTGCAATTATTTCCTGTCCAGGGTGAATACGTTTACCAAGTTAACTTCCACAGAGTGTTACTTTGTTACAAAGCACAAGTGTTACATTGTATTTATTGCTGCATTTTTATTATTTTAATATTCTTATAGGGATCTTCTGTACCTAAACTTGTGTGTGTTGTTAGATTCCCCAGAGTTAGCCAAGACAGAAAAAACATGTTGTAACCAGCTGTTTTAGCATAAAGCAATGGAAGGGAAGGCTTGCATTCACTACAATGTGTGTGAATTCACTTACATTGTTTTATGCTAAACTAAGAAAAGCAACTGTTGCCAGATCATATTGGGCTGGTTATAAAATGCTTTATCTGACTTGTCCAACTCTGGGGAATCTTAACAAGACACACTTTTACTGAGTGGTGGAATGTTCCTTTAAGTTAAAATGTATTTGTGGAAACCACAGTTTACAAGAAAAACTTGAATGTTAGATTTATGCTGTGTGTTCTGTTGTTTTTGAGACCTGCCAAATAAATTTTATTTGCATTACTTGGAACCCCTAGTGAGTTATTGAGACAGTTATTTGGTGTGTAATAGAGAATTAAGTTGCATCAAAAAGGCAGAGAATAAAGGGTTTAAGCTTAAGAAATTTTTATTTCTTTTTTATGTGAGGGAGATTTATCGGCCATTATATCGGCTATCGGCCTTTGTTAAAAGTTTTATATCGGTATCGGCCCCAAAAAAAGCATATCGGTCAGGCCCTACTCTAAACACCAGTCTCAGTTTTCTAGGTCCAAATGGTGATTTTCTTTTTGGGACATGAGCTGGGGCTTTCCATCGGCGCTGCTGTAACTGCGGGCCGCCATGTTGGATGGGTCACCAGTCGCCCCCAGTGCATTCATTGGGCTAGAAAAGTCAGTAGTAATCCCACATAATCTGTTTTCAATAGTACTGTTGAAAACATACACTGCACCAAAACAGGTACTGTAGTTGCTCACTCAGCCTCGACTCCGATTAGGTTTTGGAGTGAGAACCCCATCCAATATGGCAGTGAAGCGGTAACAGTGCAGCGCTCCATGTCACCTCTACGTATTTTGTTTTAGTTTCTTCTCGTTCCCACCTCTTGTGGCAACTAGCTGTCTGATTCATACAAGTAGTACATTTGTACTGATTTCAAAAGTAAATTCTTCTAAAGCAGACCTGACCGCTGGTTTAATGTGGGACTACTTTCTTTTGAGCTTAAGTAGTAAAGCGGCTCTCACATGACCGTTTTAGACCAGTGCTTGCATTTAGTAAACAGGAAGCCAACATAGCGGTGTACTCGGAGTGGGAAAGTAGCAGCGATTATGATTTCACTACCTTAGAAACTTAGAAACTTGTTTGATGTAATACGCCGGGACGAGTTTGTCTAAATACATTTAAATAAAAAATGCTCTACCAGTTAGTGTTTCCCAGTCTGTGTGCACTAGGAAGTTCCCACGCTTCAGCACCTCGTCTGTCACCGTTTAAATGATCCCTGTTTTGACAGATGAGGCAGTAGAGCCTAAATAGCACCTTTTAATGAAAATATAAAGTTTAGACCTGTTACAATATTAGGACTTCAACACGTGTTTAACGTGGAAGGTGCTCTTTAAGTCTCCTTGCCTACTTCTCCTTCCAGGTGACACACCTGTCCAGGTATCTAGGACCTCCTCTCTGAAAACCTCTCAGCACTCTTCTTTTATCAGTTCCACCTCCTGGTCCTCCGCTCTGCACTTTCATCCTTCAGATTACCGATCCAATTCTGTCTCGCTACACTCACCTACCACTGCCTAGCAGTCCCTGACCTTTAAATCACGTCTGCATAAGCTGTAGTCCACCTGTAGGCTCCTCCCTTTTCTGGAAGAGGTACTGACAACAACCATTTCCAAACCCCCTCTCATGTGTGGTTTTAGAGACAAGTCCACAGCTGCAAAGTTTCTGATGGACCAGTAAAGGCCACCAACACTGGACGTCAGGCTGCTTTTATAAAATAGTCCCAGGTGAGTGACATGTTTGTACCAGTGGGGGGTCAGACCCAGCAGGTCGGCTCATGTCACAGCTGGATGTTCTCACTGCAGGCCAGTCAGAGACCTTGGTTCTGGTTCTGTTTGTGTCTGATCAGCCCAAGGAGAGCCACCAACATCACACAGACCCAAACTCCTAAAAACCCAACAGCATCAGGGTGAGACGGGTGCAGCTTCGTCCTGAGATGTTCACACACACACCATTCTCACTGCCCTCTTTGGTGCTTTCAGCTCTGTATCTGGTTGCCCTGACATCGCTACCTGTTGTCTGGGTGATCACAAGCAAACATGAGCTGGTCAGCCAGCGTGTGTGTGTGTGTGTGTGTGTGTGTGTGTGTGTGTGTGTGTGTGTGTGTCCATGGAAACTCAAGAGGAAGGAGCCATCAGCCTGCAGGCCAGCAGCTTTTCAAACAGTCGGATGATTTAACCGAAATGAAGCAGCTGAAGGTGGCAGGCAGCTCTGGGATCAGCTGCTGCTGGTTCTGACTTCAGTCTAGATCTTCTGACACATAGAAGATGAAGCAGACACTTCTGTAGACACGCGTGTGATCTGCTGCTCGTGTTCAGAGTTGTATAAATAAACCTGCCACCTGGGTTGTGTAAAGAGCCAACCGGGTCCACAGAGTTCTGATGTTCCTACTAGAGGAGGTCTGATACTCTTCTGGACCCGTTCTGTCAGCTGTGATGAAACAGAACCAAGCCTGGGCTGAAGTGAGAGGATGATGGATCCATTAGTGTTTGTGGTTTTACTGCTCTTTAGGTCTGACATCCAGAACTTTCTTCACTTCCCACTGACCACATTATGATGATCAGAACCAGCAGTCCAGTACAGAACTTCTAATGATGTTTAGAACCTTCTAGGGCTGCACGATATTAGGAAAAACTGTGATATTCAATAACAGTGCTTAATATTGCGATATCGATATTACTCACGATAAATGAACAAATACTAAAGTATGCAGTGTTGATGTCTGGCATGTGACGTCTGCTCTGGGTTCAAAGCAAACAAAAACTAATGCATGAATTCCATTACAACATAACATTTTTATTGCAAACATATGCAGCTGCACCTGCTACTGTATTAGCAGCAAAACAACAAACTGCATGCATGCAGTTTCTCAGTGACTTTAAAACATCACCTCCACCATAAAACTTTTTCTGATGCTCCAAATACAGAAAAACATCCCTTACCAGGGTTTTTTGTGTAAATAAAAAAAAATCTGAAAATTACTTTAAATGTTAAATAATAGTTAACATCACTTAATGCAACAGCAAATTCTCTCATTGCTACTGAACATTTTCTCCATTTATGTGGTTATGATATAAGGCTGTTGCTGTAATTGGGAAGTGAACTGTGCTGGGCCAAACTAGGAGAATATTAAGATTTTCTGAGGGAAAGAGAAAAACAATTGTCTACCTTTCAGAAGAGGAACTGGCAAAAAAAAAAAACTACATGGAAAATATTGAAAACGTTTGGTTTTAACCCCAAATTTAACAAGTTTACCTGGATCTTAAAAAGCAGCTCAGATGATGAAACTGCAACTATGATTCTGATAACAAGCTAACAAATTGAACTAAGATAACCGGCTAGCAGAGCTTCTGACTGACAGCTTATGTGCAGCAGCAAATCAACTATCCTGATTAACAAGGTTATAAAAGCTCATAAAGGAAAAATCACTTTGATGTGTGGGGGAACTTTTCCAGGCCCTCTTTAGCAGGGAGGGACTGGGAGGAGAGTGCTGTAGCCTTTTAGCTGGAAGCTAACCGGAGCCTGGGGCTAACACTAGCGACATGAAGGTGGGTTGGTTCACCGGCACGTGTCGGAGTCAGCCCGGTAAAAATGATTAACGACATCGAGCGGAGTCACGTCACGTTTGAAAGCAGCGCTGACATCAGCACAAAATGTGTTCATTGCTCTGAGCCAGCATGACGAACAAGGGAACAGCGCCGCAAACCCTGTTCGGGTGTTGCTTTCCAAAAGGGTCTATGTAGGGGGCGGGTGAACGGAACAGTGAACGGAACCATCTGATTGGCCGCATATCAGAAGGACTACATTTGATTGGTCAAATAATACTTCCACATAAAAAACAGAGCTGGTTTACAAAAAGCTGATGTATGACACGGATGGAAATGTTTGAACCAAACATTTATCGCCGTTTTTGCGATGGGCCTATTGCACGTCCTGTTATCGCGATGACGATAATTTTTCGATATATTGTGCAGCCCTACTTCCTGTGCTTTAGGAGGCCCTGAGTCTGGAATCCTAACTTTAAACGTTCCTGCTCTGGTTTTGTTCTAAACACGGCTTCAGAAGCAGCGTCTGGTTCTGGTGGGGAAACCAGATGTACTCACAGCTGTGGAGGCTGCAGCCTGTTTGGACTCCTCCGTCAGAAAGGCCAGCATCACCTCCACCTTCTGCTTCTCCTCCTCGCTGATGTAGTCCGTGTCTGTTGACAAAAAGAAAGATTTCCTGAGTCTGGTTCCTCTGATTGTTGACATGAAGAACCTGTTCTGGTGGTCAGAAGGTGGGTTCCATCAAAAGCTTCTACCTAAGCCGACCTGAGGCCTTCAGCTGATCGTCTGTGGGACTCATCTTTGTTTATCGGCTCTTTTAGAGTCAACTTCCTGTTTTAAAGATTCAGCTTAAGAATTAAAACAACTTTGTTTGCAAAACTTGCTTTTTGTGTTGAACTCGTTGATTTTAAGAGCTTAGTGAATCAGAGGTCAAAGGTCAGAGCTCAACAACAATCTGTAAACTATCAGGTGCAAGAAATAAAAAAGTTTAACAGAAAGATGGTGACTAAAATCCTCTAAAACGTCCCTGAGACTCGTTCCTCTGGTTCTAGAATAACATCCTGACATTTTAAAACGAAGGTTTGGTCCAAACAAACAAGCTGATCTGAGGTCTGATGCAGGAGACACCAAATCTGGGGAACCCTTCAGATCCTGTTACAGCTGAAGGTCCAAATATAGACCAGAGGGACACGGAACCACACAAACAGCTGAGATATGACCTTTAAACACGAACCCTTGGTGTTCCACAGTGCCACCAAACATCACAGCTTTTGGTTTTCAGGTGAATCACAAATAAGATTTAGATTTTTGATGAGCAGCCGGATGTTAGCGAGAAAACGAACCAGCCGTCACCATGGTAACAAGCAGGAAACGGCTCCTTCAGTGTGCTGGACGGGCTCCCCGGTTTGATATAAATGAAACTAAAGTTCTTGATTAAAGGAGTCCAGTTTGCCTGACAGGGCTCAACCCCTACATGGTGACATCATGCTGCAGGACTAGGCATCTGCATTCTTCACAGTGGTTCTGGAGCTGAGGAGTGAGGAGGAACCCAAAGCCGACGCTAAGAGTCCACTCTACGGCCACAATGGAGGGAGCGGGAACAGGGGTCGGTCCGTGTTGGAATGCTGGACTTGTAGGTCAGCGTTAAAAGCTTCACTTTCCCTCGTGTCATCGACCGCAGAGCTTCAGAAGTTCTAGGACCTCATTTATTAAATTGTCTAAAACTACTTTAGCTCAGCAAAAAACAAATAACTTATGCAAACTACCGCATGCGTGAGCAGCTTCTGCTTTCTAAACCACAGCTGTCCTAGAAACGTCTCCTACACACCTGCTTCCTGCCATAAACAGTCAAAACTTCATGGAACAACACTTGTTATATTCTACACTTCGATTCAGCTCATTTATGTAGCTCATTAAGGAACCAGAACCCAGCAGATTGTGTCAAGTCACTGACTTGTCAGACACTTTAGAGCCATCCTGGTCCTAAGCAAGTCTGCTGCATGTCATTTCATTGAGACTGAAATCGAGGTACTTGTGAGAGATGTAGAGACACGGGAAATGCTATACTGGCGTTTAATATAGCGCCTTCTAGAGTCCCGGAACACCCCCCCCCCCCCCCCCCCCCCAGGCGCTTTACAACACAATCAGTCATTCACCCATTCACATGCTGGTGCTGATGAGCTACGTGTAGCCACAACTGTCCTGGGGCGCACTGACAGAGGCAAGGCTGCCGAGCACAGAGCAGCAGGGAAGGGAGGGTTAAGTGTCTTGCCCAAGGACACAACGACAGTGACAAACTAAGCGGGGCTCGAACTTGCAACCTTCTGATAACGGGGCGAGAACTCAACTCCTGTGCCACCGTCGCCCTGGTACTGCTATCCAGCGGCACTGCGTTTTTTCTGTGGAGCACCAGCGCCACCTGTGGTGGACTAAAACACACCTGAGTGGCCAGATGGAGGCAATAATCAATTAAATGATGCATCAGAAACAGCTGCATGATGGTGCTCAGGGATCGCTGGGGTACCCCAGATCCAAGGGCAACATTTAGGGGTTTTAGGCAGGAAATGTAAGATATTTTAGTTCATGCTGGTTGCAGGAACCCCGAGAGCACAGCAGCTGCAGATGTTTTGGGATTACGTTTAAGGCAGGCCAGCCAACCCAACATCAGGCCCAGTTCAGCACAGATCTAAAGCCGGGCTTACGCTGTGCAACTTTTCTGTCGTCACATTCAGCTCCATCTCAAACTGAACAATTTCCTCGCAGAGTGAGTCATGATCTCACGCGGTAGGACTCAAGTGTTCGGAGGAGACCCGCTCGCTCACACTGATCGTGTGCTAGCAACACGTGATAAAAATAGCAGTTTTAACACATCAGACATTCAAGGGAGTAAAACAATGTGTTGTTATTTCACAAACACAGCAGGCATGCTCGCTTGACATTCCTTGTCATTGTTTGTGGAGAAAAGTGTAAAAATCAAAAGAGGCGTGGGTGCGACACGGAAACAGGTGGGCAGACATGTTGGTACACGAGCTGTGTGATCGGCTCTGGTTCATTTGTGTCCCAGCGCTGCTTCAAAAGTGTGATATCCTCACCAGGGATGGAAAAAATATCAAACATGTTTGATATTCATATGTGCGCATTATGATGATCGGGAGCTGGTGGTGAGGATGCTTCTCTACACTTAATGGCGCAAAACTTGCCTGAACCTCAAAGATTTCTGCACGAGAATAAAATCGGCTCTAAATGGGTCCCTAACCCCAAGTATCACAAGTGTATAAACTAAGTGGGACGTCTATATTTTTGTCGATATTCCATCTGGGGCCAGAGGTGCAGTTGTCTCCCGAAGACAGTGGCTGAGGTGGATCCACACCTGGACAGGTGTCACCAGTCCATCACAAAAACCACAAAACGATCATCAAGGACCCAAGAAGGAGATCAGAGATGCCTCATCAGTTTAGACATTTGTGGACACACCTCACCTCTTTTATCACCCCACCCCACCCGTTAGACAGCCTTCGATTTGTCGGTCCATTTACCCCCCCCCCCCCCCCCCCCCCCCCACACACACACACACACACACACACACTGGGTAGATCCTGTTTCTGCTCCGAGCTGTATTATTGGCTTGTTGGACTGTTGCCATGTCTGAGTGATTGTGATCACTGCATCCTCATGGATGGTGTGTGTGTGTGTGTGTGTGTGTGTGTGTGTGTGTGTGTGTGTGTGTGTGTGTGTGTGTGTGTGTGTGTGTGTGTGTGTGTGTGTGTGTGTGTCTAAAAGCTGACTTTTAGCACAGTTACACTGGAAGCTCCTGCTGGGAGGAACAGACTGTAAAAGAATAAGATCTCCAGACAGAAAGGCTGATGCTTTTACCAGAAACAATCTGGGGTCCGGTTCACGTCTCCGAGGTTCTGCTGGTGGAACCTCTCCTACACGTAACATCATAAGGAACTCCATTAGCTAGTTTTACTGTTTTATTGTATTTTGTTAAAGTCCAATTAAACCTGAGGGATGATAAAAAACATTAATGAAAAATTAGATTTTTGTTGATTACAACAATATGCTGAAGTTTTCTGAAGAACTTTAGCTCCAGATGCTTTCTATGGAGATCTGATCCGTTTTTATTTCTGCTGATGGAATGTTGTTGTGTTGAGCATGAGGGAGCGTCAGGTTTTATGTCTGGAGACGCTGATGTGTGACTGAAATGGAATCAGCTGATGGGTGCAGGCTCTGGTGCTGAAGCTTTGGATCGACCCGCTGAAGCTTTAACACAATGTTCAGCTTAACTTGAAAGCGTTGTTACTGCGGAGCATTAATGAGCTGCTTGAGTGGATCTGCTTCAGTAAAAAAGGCTTCGTACCCAGTCTGAAAGACTTAAAACACACGGAGAGAAATGTTTGACTTCAGTCCTCAGTTTGTTTCTGAGTTCTTTTGTTTGTTTCATCTTGCTCAGCGGTGTCCAGTCCAGGGCCCTCAGTTATCAACCGTACTTACGAACACATCTGTGCGAACTTCCAACGGTTTTGCGCATTGTGTGGAAATGTTTCTAAACATCAGGACTGCTCTGACCATGCGAACAAACAGCATCTAGTGGTAGAACAGGTGAACTGCATCATTGGAGATCTCCACAGTCTTCCTCATCCACTAATTATTTTCACACAGTAAGTAATGATGTCAGTGGAAAAACAGCATAACTTGCGTCAGAACCTGAAGTTTAAAAGCTCGTCTCTGACCAGAAACAAATACAGAGGTCCAGAGCTCCTGTTCTGTGGTTCTGATTCCTTAATGAGAAAAAGAAAAACCAGCTGACTGATCAAGGGATTTAATCTGTTAAATGAACATCAGCTGACTTCCTTAAAGGGCAAAGGTCAGGTGACATGTAAAAGAATATAAACACTGCAGCAGAATTTACCTTTGATCTGGTGTCTGATGGTACTAAAATCAGACACCACCTAGATTCACTTACTTCTCAGTTTAATGAGTAATAAGATATTTTTAATCCGTATTTTGTTCCTTTTAAGTTTTGTCATTGGATTTGCGTACAGCTTCTTTGGATCAGCGACACAAACATTTTATAGGCAGTAGGGCTGCAACAACGAATCGATAAATTCGATGAAAATCGATTACTAAAAGCGTTGGCAACGAATTGCGTCATCGATTCGTTGTGTCGCACAACTCTTCCAAAAGCGCCCCCCCTTCCCGCCCGCCGTTGCGCGCAGACCAGAGCAAGTCAGATCAGCGCGAGGGAGAGCCGGCAGATCAGCGCAAGGGAGAGCCGGTACCGGCAGATCAGCGTGAGGGAGAGCCGGCAGACTTGAGCTGCTGCGAACCGGTTCCACATTGTTGCACAGCGATCCAGGCAGCTGCTTCCAGCGCACGGTCCATTCTCAAAGTGGCGCAACCAAAAAACTATAATTAGCACATGATTGTTCATGTCCGCACATGTTCTCTATTTTCTGTCTTATTTGTGCCTGAAGCTCGCTACTACGGAGCTCATCACCTGTGCTGTGGTGATGTCACCTCACGCAGCATCGAAAACGCGCTCTGAGCTTTTCGGTCAGGAGATTCCTTTGATCTGCTCAAAAGTAACTGATGAGGTGAAAAGGTAAGAATCCAGGCAACAGATTTTCTGGAGAATTAAGAGGAGATGCAGGAAGATGAGAGACAGACAGGACAGGAAAATAGTTAAATAAAAACAAGAAAACAAAACAAAGTGTTGAAAAGTAAAATGTAGGTAGATTTATCTCCACTACACGTTTTTACCAGTAAAAAACAATAAGTTATACACATGTCATATTTATACATCTGATACAATTCAGATCACCTTCAAAACTCAGTCACACACCCAGGGCCGTTTCAAGACATTTTGGGGGCCAAGGCAAAATGCCCCCCCCCCCCCCCCCCCCCCCCCCAATAACTGGGCTCCCCAGAAGCCTCTGTGTAATTCATACCCTCTCCAGGAGTATTAGTTATACGGTGTTTATAAAAGCCCCTCAGACATTACTGACATGTTCTAATATTATCAGATGAAAAACTAAATTATCAGACATGCTGTCTCATCTGCTTCTTTTATAAACTTGCAAAAAGTAACAAAACCATTTGAAAGCCACTATTTGTGGATTCTCTGAAAGTTTCCATGGAGTGTGTGACAACTTATTTTTTCATTGATCCTATCGTCTAATCTCACAGCTGAAACAAGCATCCTTAATAATCTGTGCACAGGAAGCACACCGATGCTGTAGTAAAACAAAAGGTATAATAATTTATTATTAATAAAACCTTGTTGCAGCACTAAAGCAGAAAAATTAGATTTTGCATTAAATATGCAAAATATTTACATATGAATTGTTTTAGAGCCCTTTAATTGGCAGAATCTGATATTAATTTAGTTCTTACAAAAAATGGGTCCCAACATGGTTTGTGTGGCGTTGCCATAATGTGACATCATAGGCACAGATCCCCTGTCCTCTTGTTTGGAAATGGAAATATGGTCACTCTACATTAAACAAACTGTCCACCCGGGCTTTTGCACTGCACAGAGACGCTTTGCTGCCTACGACTGAACGTCAGTTGAGAGTCAGTCTCATGCAGACTGACCAATGAAGAGAGGGCCTCAAGTTAAGACCCTCTCCTCATTGGTCAGTCCACACGAGGTGGGTCAAAGGTTACTCTAGGCGGGTTACGTGTTGTCAGGCATTCAAGTATTGAGTATATTTACTGCATATTACAGTAAAATATTCTGTATGTGACCACATTATGGTGATCCTCGGGTCGTGATGATGGAGCCCTTGAATATTGTTGCCCAGGGTACAACAAAGTGTTAATCTGGCCCTGGTTCCGCCGTCACATTCCCGCAGAAACTGGTTGATCACACCGGGGCCAGACTACTAGCATGTGGTTTTACAACCACAATGTCCTCAGAAGCAAAAACGCTTTTAAAAGGGAGGGAGGAGTCCTAACTGTTGCTGCAGGCGTGTTGTGTGAGAGTGCAGTTATATACTGATTAATATATTTTTGGGTTCAGTTGCTTTCATGTGGCCTAATGTGAGTCTATTTGGGATCATTGGAATGATCAGCAGCATTTCTTGATGTGACTTTATGGCAGTTGCCCAGGGCATCATCGCAAGGAGGATGGCATTCATTTACTTTTGTTTTATTTGGTATTTTTTCAGTCATTTTTGGAAATAGTGATCAATTTTGATTAATTCACAGCCTATGTTTAATTACATTTAAAATAAATGTCAACAGATGAGATCAAACAAAACAGATGAGAATTGCCCTTAAGCTGTTTAACTTGGACCAAGCATTTTAGGTCACAGATAGATGTAGCTTAGGGTCTCTGTCTATACACCTTATAAGACAATTTAGGTGATGGCATGTTGTTTTTCTGCTATTGAACTGTTTTCTAATAATGTTGTGTTAAATAAAGTGAAGGAAGGAGAGAAATAACGTTTCCCTAGTAGTTTTTAAAAATTTCCCCATGTAATCCGATTAATCGATTAATCGTGTCGAGACCCCATCCGATTAATCGATTATCCAAATAATCGTTTGTTGCAGCCCTAATAGGCAGCATTCAAACTGAAGTGATCCCGTTTTTCTTTGTTTGAATGCTGTAGGTGCTCCAGGAACGCATGGAAAAACGGAATGGATCACTGGTTAACATTTAAAGGCATTTTAGCTCAGTTCAGCTTTACTTCAGTGCTTAAGCAGCTCAAGTCATTCAGCGATCAGCATTCAAACAGCATTTCATCAAGAAATGCAATTTATTAAGTTCTTATTCCTGTTGCTGGGTCGAGGAGATTCTGACAGGTTCGACAGCGTGCTTCAGACCCAAGAACCAATAATGAGCTGTGAAGTGTGTTCTGAGTGGGTCCACACTCATCAGAACCAGACCCAGCTGCTGTTATGATTTCAAAATCTGTTTCAAATCATTGAGCTACAGCAGCACACGGGTCCGTGGAACCGAGCAGAGTTCCCTCCTGCAGCTCTTCATCATCATCAATATCCTCATCAACCTCACAGCCCAATGATGATATTCAGGAACTCCTGGAGTCCAACAGAAATCATCCAGAACTGGAGCGGGTTCTGAGCTGGACCTGGGGTGTTAGAAATGCTTGTTCAGGGTTTCTCTGTCTCTCCAGATCCACATGTACCTTGTCACTGCTAGACAGCAGAGCTGTTTGACTTCCACAAATCCTCCGGATAATGCCACACAGGGTGGTCATGGAAACTGCATATGTTTCCATGGCAACAGAGAAGGGTGCCGTGGCGAACGTGCCACCCCTCACCTCTCCCCTATCTGCCTGGACTGGCAGCAGGAATAAACAGAACCAGACTGAGACACAACATCAACACCTGATCCACAGGTGACGGCCCGCAGGTGTTTCAGCAGCAAGAGGCTGAAGCTTCCAGTCTAAACAACGACTCAAGCGTGTGTGCGTGCGTGCGTGCGTGTGAGTGTGAGTGTGTGTGTGTGTGTGTGTGTGTGTGTGTGTGTGTGTGTGTGTGTGTGTGTGTGTGTGAGGGATTGTGGGGAGATGAGTAAATGATTTAACATCAGGCTGCAAAGAGAAATGCTCCCTCAACATAAACAAATAAAAGCTGATTCTATTTCAGATATTTGGGTTTTAAATTATACTTTTCCTGTTAGTTTGATCGCGGCTAATTTTGGTGAAGATTTTTTATTTTTATTAAATATTCAAACGGAAACAGCAGTGTTACACGAGCTGAAGATGCTGATGTAAGCTAGTCAACAACACTGCTGTTAGAGGTAAACATGCTTTATGATGAACCCTCATTATGACATCAACTTGGACCAGAACCGGGTCTGGATGCCGAGTCCGTCTGACCAAACAGCAGAACAGGAACGCACACCCCACAGCACATATTGTAACTTGTAGGAGTAGAGGGAGTAACCTGTGAAATCATGAGGGCTGCATTCCATTTGAGCATGCAGAGTAGCAGAAATAGAATGCAGCCCTAGCTAGTCTTTCCTAACTCATTTGAATCAGAACTTTTGCAAACTCACATGCATGCAGGGAGAAGTGTTTCCGTTCTGTAGAAGCCGAGTTCCCGGCAGCTGAAGGAGCCACAGAGGAACCCAAAGACCCGACCGCAGGGCGGGAAGGGATGGCTGACGGTCTGGAGGAGTCTCCAGGTTCTCCCAGAAGGTGCTGTATGGAGTGGAGCTGGAAACACGGGTCAGAGAGGAGCACAGAGGCAGCTCGAGACGTTCTGCAAGGAGACAGGAAGAGGAGGACATTTACCTCATTAGGGAACAGATCCAGTTTTAAACTCCGTAAAGACCCAAACTGGTCTGATGAGAATAACCAGCAGACAAACTGGTTCTGCTCCTGTTTGTTTACCGTCTAAACCAGCACCGGGCTGACCCGGTTCCGCTCTTGGTCAGAACCACCCTGATATCTGACCCAGGAGGTAGCAGCGGTTCCTCAGAACCCCCAGGTGCAGAAGTGATGCAGCTTTTAGACGTGTGAAAGGTTCTGGTCCAGTTCTGCATGAAACACTCTGGTGCTGGAAGCAAAATCAATCCCTCAACTCTCCGTTGATCTGGATCTGGATGTTTTTATAAACATTAAAGAGTTTACAAGCCCCACTAAAGTCCACCTGTTAGCACTTCCTGTTGGGAATCTAGTGGCTGAGCCGTGATTGGCTGAAGTGACATGTGACACAAAGATGGATTCAGACCTGATCCTAACCTGAATCTTTTTCTGACAGAAGTCAGTGAAACCCACGGGAGGAGGAGGGGTGCTGTCTCGGCCTGCGGCGCCACTCGGTCCAGCTTTTCTGCACCACTCTTTCATCGTGGCACAGTCGATTCTCACATTTCCAATTCTCTCGCCCTTTTTGTCTGAGAGCTTGCTCTCCGTTTACAACCCAGATGTTTGTTGATCAGGTTTAGTATCAACGTCTGCCTGATCTCAGCTTCAGTCCGTCAACAACTGGCAAGTTTTTTGATCAGCAGGTGGCGCTGTAATGACCGCTGTGACAAACAGAACCAGCGTTTTCTGTTCAACTTATCATCACAGAGATAAATGTTTTTTTTACTTGTTCAAAAACGTTTCACCTCAAATACAGAAAGCAGGAGACCAGAGCGATCCTCTGTGTGTGTGTGTGTGTGTGTGTGTGCGTGCGTGCGTGTGTGTGTGTGTGTGTGTGCGTGCGTGCGTGCGTGCGTGCGTGTGTGTGTGTGTGTGTGTGTGTGTGTGTGTGTGTGTGTGTGTGTGTGTGATGCAGAGATAAAGACGATAAAAAAGATGAAGAGCAAATCAAACAAACGTGAGACGAGCTGTTGGAAAATGCCACGGCACGGTTTTGGGTCAACAGATGACTTCATCATGCTTCTGTTTAATTAGAAGCCAACAAAAGGGCCGAGTGTTTACACGGACGAGGCTAATCACTGGATGAAAACACAAATTACTGCAGCGTCAACAAACAGACAGAATAATCAGTCCCACAGGAGCAGCCAGCAAACACACTCAGAATCTGCTGCTGCAGCTGGGAACAGATGTTGGGTATTGATCATTTTATCATTTAATGACCCGATTTCCGTCTGACTGGTAAATTTAACCATCAGAGGAAGTTTTATTTATGCTGAGTTTGGGGACTGATCCAGTCTCTTAGTGGTAATGGGTCTGGTTCTGCAGGACACAAACACTAAAACCCACCAGACATTCATTTTCATCCAGCAGATGACGCCGTCTGTCAGAACCTCCAGGTGAGCGGTTACGTTTTTCACAGTTTGCACACATTTCATGTGTCGATTACACTCCCTTTGCTGTTCTTTCAAAAACACATCCAGTCTCGAGGCGACAAGTATGCTCTGTTAGCTAGCAGCTATGGGTGTGGTGTGTGAACTCCTGGGCTGCCCTGAATTTGAGTTTAAAACTGAGCCATTGTTATTCCGCTTGAAAACCTCTTTCTCAGGATGAATGTAAAAAGTCATGTTTGTTGTTTCATATGGTTGAACTCGCCTTCCCACCTGAACCCCATTTACTGGAAATCACGTTATCGGACCGGAATCCCGATTATCAGTAAAAACTAAACGTTGTCTCTTTAATGGCCTACATTAAGTTCTACTGATCATATGAGGACATAATTAGAAATGGCATTTAGACTAAGATGAGTGATATTATTGCAAAGATAAAATGATAACAAAATGTCGGTCAAGTTTTTCCCATAATATATGTATTAAATGTAAATACCAATATTGGGCCTTTTAAAATAAAAGTCTGCATTTCAGCCTCATAATTTTGTTGTATTATTTAACATTTTTAGCAGCAGACCCAATATGGTTTCACTTCAAATGTTGTTAAACAGAATATTCCATTAATCAACAGAGGATTTGATAGAATATTCTAATAATTACAACCTGCAGAGCAAAATCCTGATCCTAAGACACAAATCTTGATTGGGACGTCCCCAGTTGAAACACATGATAAATGACCTGCAATTGTATAGCATCTTTCAGAGTCAGAGGACTCCAAAGCACTTTACGCTACAGTGTATCGTTCATCCATTCACACAAACATTCACACACTGATGGTGATGAGATACTATGTAGCCACAGCTGCCCTGGGGTACACTGACAGAGGTCAGGCTGTCGAGCACAGGCACCACCCGTCCTGACCACCACCAGCATGAGAGGGAGGTTAAGTGTCTTTTCCAAGGACACAACAGCAGCATTCACTGGCAGGAGCCAGGATCAAACCTGCAACCTTTCGATTACTGGACAACTCGCTCTACCTCCTGAGATACTGCTGTCCATAACAATGATGGCGATGCAGGTTAGGGAGGAGAGTGGAGGAGAAGCGCTGCACTGAGGTGCAGGTCTCAACTTATGTTTGCTCCAGAATCAGGTTTCAGTTGAATAAAAGTACTAAAACCATCAGCTGCTGAGTCATCAGCTCACCACCAACTCAGTGGAACTCTGGTTTTTAAGACCAGAGAACTCTCAGATGACCTGGAGGAACCCGGACCATGTCCAGGTGCTCTTGACGGGGAAAAGAAAACCTCATTAAACTACATCAGTTCACTATGTTGTGTGTATGTGTGCACGCGCGTGCGTGTGTGTATGTGTGCTTGTGCGTGCGCGTGTGTGTGCGCGCGTGTGTGTGTGTGTGTGTGTGCGTGTGTGTATGTGCGTGTGCGTATGAGTGTGTGCATATGAGCGTGCGCGTATGTGCGTGCGCGTATGTGCATGTGCGTATGTGCGTATGTGTATGTGCGTATGCGCGTGTGTGTATGTGTGTGCATCTGTGCGTGCGCATATGCGTGTGTGTATGTGTATGTGCGTGTGTGTATGTGTATGTGCGTGTGCGTATGTGTGTGTGTATGTGCATGTGCGTATGTGTGTGTGTGTATGTGCATGTGCGTATGTGTGTGTGCATGTGCGTATGTGCGTGTGCGTATGTGCGTGTGTGTATGTGTGTATGTGTGTGTGTATGTGCATGTGTGTGTATGTGCGTGTGTGTGTGTATGTGCATGTGCGTGTGTGTGTATGTGCATGTGCGTATGTGTATGTGCCTGTGTGTGTATGTGCATGTGTGTATGTGTATGTGCGTGTGTGTGTATGTGCGTGTGTGTGTATGTGCGTGTGCGTATGTACGTATGTGTGTATGTGCGTATGTGTGTGTGTATGTGCATGTGTGTGTATGTGCATGTGTGTGTATGTGCGTGTGTGTGTATGTGTATGTGCGTGTGTGTGTGTGCGTATGTGTGTGTGCCTGTGTGTATGTTGCGCATGTGTAAGTGTGCATGCGTGTGCGTGTGCGTATGTGCGTATGTGTGTGCGTGTGCGTATGTGTATATGCGTGTGCGTATGTGCGTGTGTCTATGTGCGTGTGCGTATGTGCGTATGTGTATATGCGTGTGCGTATGTGCGTGTGTCTATGTGCGTGTGTTGCGCGTGTGTAAGTGTGCATGCGTGTGTGTGCATGTGCGTGTGTGCATGTGCCTGTGTGTATGTGCCCATGTGCATGTGCACATGTGTAAGTGTGCATGCTTTTGTGTGTGTGTGTGTGTGTGTGTGTGCGTGTGTGTGTGTAGCAAGCCAAACCTCCTCAGATCGAATGTGTTTGTTTAAAATGATTTCTGAGACTTTCAGACTAAAAACCTGAGAGCAGAAGAGATTCTACACCTTCATCCAAACGGAGCGAGGCACAACACGATGTCCCATCAGCTGGACAGGACAATCTAAACAGGCTGCAAATATCTAGGTGGACCAAAAAAGACCTCAGAGCATCAGGGCAGAAACAGAAACCAGAACCAAGAGTCTGATTTGCTGAAGGACAACCAGACAGAACATTATCAGGAGCGTTCTAGTGGACAGGCTGCTGCTAACTCAAACGTCCACCTCCAGTAAAAGATCCATTCCACTTTCAGCTTTGAAGACACACATCTTGTTTAAATGGTGCAAACATGATGTGAACTTGGTCCTGAACAGCTAAATCAGACGGTGGGAAGGCGTCTGAGCCCGGTTCCTCTGCAGCCAATCAAATTGACTGTGAAATCAGCCTCACAGCGCTCCTTCTGTGGCAGCATAAGCCATCAGAGAGGGTGGAAAGCAAGTGTGAGCAGGAGGCAAACAGGAAGAGACAGAAGTGAACAGAGCAGTGAGAGGAGGAGGTTCTGAAGGGGGAGGTGGGTTAAGTCGGAGTAGAAGAGAGGGAGAGGAGAGGTGGAGCTGGGAAAGCACCAGAAGCGTGACAGCGAGCTCACAAACGAAGGCAGAGACACAGCTGCTCACATCTGGACCAAACCAACAGGAACTTTCCTCTCTGCCTTGATGATGAGTTAAAGAGAAGCAGAGTCGATGCTCGATGCCTCATCATCACAGGGAGCATTTTACAAATGCAGCAGCATCAACACAGAGACGATGAAGCTGAAGCAGCTGCAGACGAGATGCCGACTCTGAAAACGGGAGTGGATGTACAACTCAGGCAACGTTAGGCTGGTGGGACGGGGCAGACGGAGTGAAGACCCGGACTCAAACGCAGCTTCAACATCAACAGGATAAAAGAAACTAAAGTTCCCAGGTTCTGGATTTTACAACCGAGACCTCCCCTCCTGAACTGAGCAGACGTTTGTTGCCGTCCCCTCTCCACATGGCAGGTGGAGGCATTCAGCATTAACCGGGTCGGACCAAGTGGAGCTGACAAAGGAGTGGGGCTCTACGTTACTGACACACAGCTTGTGCCCTGCAGAAGGTCTGAAAGGTTCATGCAGGAGGACACCAGAAGGTAGGATGAGCCTGAAGCCCGGTTCTGTTCAGTTCTGCTTACGCTGAGCAGATGGAATGAAAATTGGATGAATCACAGAACTCGCAGCATGTGAGACGAGAAGAAACAACTCCAGCTCTTCTACACTAAGACAGACCAAAGCTGGGAGATCAGAGCGCGTGCTGGTGGCATCATGCTGGCTGCTGCTGGTCACACTGGTTTCTTGCAGGGGGCGGAGTCATGTTCAGCCCCAGGAGCACCATCACTCTTGTCCGTCGTTGTTCTGTTGTTCTGTGTTCAGCTGAGTCTGGTCCGGACCAGCGCCTGCCCATCTCTGTGTCTGTGCACCTCAGACATCCTCAGCTGCACCGCGCTGGGTCTGGATCAGGTCCCGGCGATGCTGCCCGTCTTCGCAGTCACGCTGGACCTGAACCACAACCGCATCGTGCTGCTGGAGGATGGCAGCTTTGAAGGGCTTTCTCGACTGGAGATGCTACGTTTAGCACACAACCAACTGACTAGCATCCAGCCAGGAGCTTTCAGAAACTCCTCAGCTTCTTTACTCCGACACCTGGACCTGTCGTCCAATCAGCTGCGTGTTCTTGAGCAGCATTATTTCCAGGATCTCTCTGGACTGGAAGAACTGCTGCTGTTCAACAACCGGATCATGCATGTGGAGAGCAGTGCTCTGATTGGTCTCAGCAATCTCCACAAGGCCTACCTCAGTCACAACCGTCTCACGGACTTCCCCTTCTTCAGCATCCAGAACCACAGCTACCCTCACCTGTCCATGCTGGACCTGTCCTCCAACCGGTTGCCCAAACTGCCACTGGAGGACATCACAAACCTGCCCCAGCTGGTTCAGAAAGGACTCTACCTGCACAACAACTCTCTGGAGTGCGACTGCTCCATGTACGCTCTGTTCAGGTTCTGGGAACAGAAAGGATTTGGCTCCATCCACTTCTTTAGACAGGAGCATGTCTGTCTGGTCTACGGGATGAAGAGAGGCACCATGCGCTTCTTTCTGTACAATCGTTACTTTGACAAATGCAACCAGACGCTGATGAGCGATGCTGTGAAGAAGCAGGACAGCAGTGTCTCTGTGAGGGTGGGGGCACAGCTGCTGCTGCACTGCATCACGTCTCTGTCAGGAAGCAGCATCACCTTCTTCTGGTTGGCACCAAACTTTGAGTATGTGGCACCACCGGGGAACAACGGCTCCCTGAAGATGTTTGCAAATGGCAGCTTGGAGATCTTGGCGGCCCGAGAGCAGGATTCTGGTATCTACCTGTGCATGGCTCAGGATGAGCAGCGGAACGAAACCCGAGAGGTCAACGTGACGGTGCTGCTGCACCACGACGAGGCCCACGAGCAGTTCAACACAGGGTTCACCACCTTGCTGGGCTGTGTGGTCAGCCTGGTCCTGGTCCTCATGTACCTGTACTTAACACCCTGCCGCTGTCCTGCCTGTCCTAAGCCCCGCCCCCCACTCACAACCAACCCGAGTCAGGGGAAAGAGGCGTGGGGGGCGTGGAGTGCCCAGTCCTCCATCCTCTCTGCCACCCCGCCAACTACCACTGAGGGTCCAGGTCGCAAGGTCAGTACCAACAAACATGTGGTGTTTCTGGAACCAATCAAAGAGCAGCAGAATGGCAGACCGAGGGCGGGGCCAGGGTCACTACTAGGGGCGGAGCTACAGCAGAGGGCCGCAGAAAGGGCCTCCTACACATCCGTATTCTCCGACACACCCATCATGTTGCCATAGAGTCAGAACTCACATGAACTGGCACTTTCCTCACCCACCCACCAAACACACAGCAGACCTGAGCACAACTTACCCCTCCCTCCCTCCCTCCCTCCCTCACCCACCCCCCTCCAATCTAAGTGCAATTCTGAGTCCAGATGACCGTTAGCTCAGGTCCACCACTGAGCCCAGGAACCAGCTCACTGTGACAGGTCGAGCTCTCAGACCGTAGACTAGGCAGAACCAAGCAAGTCCAGACCTGAAATCCCAGACGGGGAGACCAGGACCTGAGAGCATGAATCGCTGCTAACAATGTCCCTTTAAGCACGGCTTGTACCTTTAAAACATTTGCTATGAATGCCTTTTTGTCTCGACCAGAAAGAAAACGCCATTTTTTAGCTTCCAGAGTTCGTGTGTCGGTTAAACAGATCCAAACAAATATGCAGCGTGTCGCTCGGTCACAATGAGACGCTTTAGAGTAGATGAGCTAAAGAGGAAAAGCTTTTAGAAACTAAAAATAGAATCAGCCTTCCTTCATTTTCCCCTGGAAGTGTTACTGTCATCATCCATCAGATGAGGGGAAATAAATAAACCAGAACATGTCTGAAACATCAGCTGGAGGTCTTTAGGAAACCTCGACAGACGTGACTCAGTGAAGATGACGAGATGTTTGTGATTTTTCTGTCTCCACTGCATCGACTGCAGCCCGTCCCGTCTGTGTGTTTGTGTTAATAAAACCTCCAGATGTGCATCATCTAACCATCAGCCTGGTTATTGTACCTGCATGCATCTGCTAAGCCACGACCAGCATGTTCAACCACAGCCAGACACGAAACACAACGGCTCACATCTGATGCAGGTGTTCAGAAGCTGCTAACGCGGTTTAAAAATGATTTTCCCAAACAAATATGGGGAAAGTGCTTTTTTAACAGCAG